TGTGTGTGTGTGTGTGTGTGTGTGTGTGTGTGTGTGTGTGTGTGTGTGTGTGTGTGTGTGTGTGTGTGTGTGTGTGTGTGTGTGTGTGTGTGTGTGTGTGTGTGTGTGTGTGTGTGTGTGTGTGTGTGTGTGCGCGCGCACATGCGTCTGGGTGAAACGAGCGTCCAAAGGAGCATGGCATACAGAGGTGACTATGAAGCCAAGTGAAAGGAGAAGGGCTTACGATTTGGGCCAGCTGCCTTCGCCGACGCCCATCGTGAACAACACACCCAAGCCCTGTTGAGCAGGCGCACAAACCCCAACACAAGCATTATCATGTGGCGCGATCGCGTGAGTCGGTGGGCAGGCACATGCATGGAAAGGGTGATGGGGTAGAACGCGGAAGGTGTACGGTTGCGTCCAGACGCGATGTTCTACCTGGAAGAACTCGATGGTCAGCAGCAGATACAGCACGCCCGTGAGCCGAAACGGGAGCTTGGGCCTGATTGCACAGCAAGTAGATCACAGGGAGAGCACACATGTTATGAGATAGGAAGCGAAGGAGAGAGACGAGGAGGAGAAGAAGAGGAGGCGACGGAGGAGGAAGGAGAAGAGGAGGAGAAAGAGGAGGGGAAAGAGGAGGAGAAAGAGGAGGAGAAAGAGGAGGAGAAAGAGGAGGAGAAAGAGGAGGAGAAAGAGGAGGAGGCACACCAAAGCCCTGGTGTTGCACACACACACACATCCACACACAGATACACACACACACAACCTTTTGAGTTCTTCTTGGTCTGTGGACACATGGTGTGGTGTAAAGGCGACAAGGGGCTTGTTAAAGGCAGCCTTGTCAATGGGCGACAGTTGAAGGAGCTCGTTTGTCGGGCTCGAGCTCAGCCGCTGAACCTTGCCACTCGACCAGCCAGTCATGCCGATCTGCGAGCTTGTACACTTGTGCACCACGACTTGCTTGTATGCTCTGCGTCTCCTCGCCTCAACCACAACGATCAACGACGGCAGCGGCGATCACGGCCTTGCCGATCACCGACAGCCCAAGCACCACAACCAAACAAACGTTGAAGCAGACCCAGGCGTGCGGAGAGGCAAACAGCAGGCAGCAGTCCTCTTCGTTGTCTAGTAGGGTGCTGGTTCGGTTGGCGAAATCAGTCGTTTTTTGCTGTTGTTGTCAACGACGACAAACAACGACGGAGCTGTTGTGCTTGGTGTGCTTGGCGCGAGCACAACAACGGTAGCATGGGTGGAGGTGGTGGTGGAGCGGGGACAGGGGAGGGGGATCAGCCGAGCACGGTGGCCTTGAACCTGCTCTGCCTTTCGCTTGCGTATTACTCGCTCGCATACATCTTCTCGGGCCTGATTGGACCCATCTGCGAGTGAGTGTGTGTGTGCAGATGTGTGTGTGTGTGTGCAGATGTGTGTATGTGCATGTGTGTGTGTGCGTGTTTGTGCATGTTTGTGCATGTGTGTGCATGTGTGTGCGTGTGTGTGCATATGTGTGTGTGCATGTGTATGCATGTGTGTGTGTGTGTGTGTGTGTGTGCGTGCGTGCGCATGTGAGTGAGTGTTGTGTTGCATGTGTGTGTGTGTGTGTGTGTCGATGTCTCCTTCCCCCACTTACTCCCTCACTCTCTCACTCCCTTACTCTCTCACTTCCTCACTCGCCCCACTCATTCACCGTTCGTTGACTTCTTCACACGTAGCACTGGGCTTGAGGGCACCCTTCCCTTTGAGCTGAAACACAGCTTCTCGGATAACCGCGGCCTTGGTGCGTTTGAGCTGTTCATACACATACACGCAACACAACACACACACATACACACAATAAATCACATACATACACATGTACATACACACACGTGCACACACACGGTGTCACAACTCACCGGTCGTTTCTTGCTGCGCACGCCTTCCAGCCGCTTGGGTGAACGTTGTCGTGAGCATGCTTGCCGTAAGCGTGATTGCACCTTGCATTTGGCCGTACCATCCACGATTATGGGACTACCTCGCTTCCCTCGCAGTCCTCAACTTTATCCTCTCATGCATAGGTCAGACATACGTGTGTGTGTGTGTGTGTGTGTGTGTGTGTGTGTGTGTGTGTGTGTGTGTGTGTGTGTGTGTGTGTGTGTGTGTGCGTGTGTGTGCGTGTGTGTGTGTGTGTGTGTGTGTGTGTGTGTGTGCGTTGGCCGCTTGCTCTCTGCTTGTTCAGTTACCTGTGCTTGTTCAGTCAGCTTGTTGTGCTTAGTCGTCTCCTTCTCTACCTCACCTCACCTCACCTCACCTCACCTCACCTCACTTATGTTGCCCGCATCACTGACCACCCCCCCCCCCTCTGCCCAACCCCCACGCCCTGTTCTGCCTGTAACCGCAACAGTGACGAGAGAGGCGCCGGACAGTTACATTTGGTGGGTGACCATGCTGACACTGGTGCCAGTGTGTTTGCTGGTCGCCTATGGGATGCAGGTCTTGCTTCGCAAACGCTTTCCTCCTCGCACTGCCGTTGAGCGTGTCCCGCCACCTTCCTCGTCTTAGCACCCATGATGTGACATGTGAAATGATGCCAAACGGCTCCATGCGTTGCGTTGACGCCTATCATACTTATTTGAGGATGTACCTCCCGCAGGCGCGCGGCACTGCAACCAGCGCAACACGTTTGATTGATAAACGAACCACCAACCAACGGTGCACTGTTGATACGAGAGCACACACACACACACACACACACACACTCTCTCTCTCTCTCTCTTTCCCTGACACCATCCACCTATCCTCGTTGCTGGGGAGAGGACCGTGTACTCGGGGGGAGTGGACTGCAACATTGGCACAACCATGTCAAACAAACCAGCTGGCTATATGGTCGAGAGACAAAAGGAGGACACATCGTCTGGAGTAGGTTCAGAGACGGAGAGAGCGAGGAAAGAAACACACGAAGAGACAGGCTGCAGGGCCAGGGGGAAAGAAGGTAGCATGATGGGGACAAAAGGGAGTTGGCTTTGTGGCCGTGCAACAGAAAACATCAGACGAGAGGGCAGGAAGGCACAAAGCACACAACGACAACAGAGGCGATTTGACAAGAAAGGCAACATCAAGAAGAGCTCGATGGTTTCCTGTGTTTACTCGTCGCCGTGGCGGATGGCAATGTAGTACTCCTTGACCTTGTCGAAGCCAGCGAGCACACCAGCACCAGCGATACCACGAAGAATGTTGGCACCGGCACCCTTGAAGAAGGAGCCAGCACCCTCGGCCTTCATGATCTGGACGGCGCAGTCAAGGGAGTTCTTGTACTTGACGGCCTCGCCAGAGGTCATCATCATACGACGGCGGATGGTGTCAACGGGGTAGGAGGCGAGGCCGGCGAGGACGGTCACACCGTAGCCGAGCGCAAACGTGGCCATGAAGTTCTTCTGGAGGGACTCGCTGAGGAGGGGCTTGAGGGAATCGTACAGACCAAAGTAGAAGCCGCGGTACACAATGATACCAACGCAGGAGATGACAAAGCCACGGTAGAGGCCGGCAACACCGTCAGAGGCGATGGTCTTGCGGTACACGTCGACGAGGCCGTTGAACTGGCGGGCGCCGCCCTTCTTCTCGTTCTTGTTGTCGTTGGCAAGGCGGGTACGGGCGTAGTCGAGGGAGTAGACGAAGAGCAGGGAGAAGGCACCGGCGAGACCACCAGAGATCATGTTGCCGACGAACCACATGGCGTAGCCGTCCTTGTCCTTCTTGAAGTTGATGAGGGCCTTGATCTTGTCCTTGAAGGCAAAGTTGAGGGCCTGTGTGGGGAAGTAGCGCAGCACGTTGGCTGCGTTGCCACGCCAGAGAGAGCCAACGCCCTCAGACTTGATGACACGGCCGAAGCAGTCCATCACGCCAGAGTAGGGGCGGTCCAGGGAGCCGGTCTTGAGCATCTCACCCTGGTTCTGGAGGAGCAGCTTGATGCGCTCAATGGGGGCGGCAGCCGTCTTGGACACGGCGGCGGCAACACCACCAAGCATGAAGTCCTCGAAGAAGGCGAGCTTCTTCTTGCCAGCGGGCGCGGCGGCGAGGCGCTCGCGGATGTTGACCTGGTTGTACAGCATCGTGGTTGTTGTTGTTGTCTGTCGGAGGAGAGGGGAGGAGGCAGAGAGAACGAATTGTGAGCTGTTCGTTCGTATCGATGAAGGATGTGTTTGTTGGCTTTCAGGAAAATGGTGTCAAGGAACAAAGAGAAAAAGCAGTTGCTGTTGTTGTTGGAGGAGGAGGAGGGACAAGACATCAAATGCTTTGGTGTGCGGGCAACCGCTTTCCCCAACTTGCGCTGTCACACCTCACCACCAAACCAACCGACCAAGCCCCTCCTTGACTCACGCACGGTCTCGAGCAACCCCGACACGGAACCAGCTCGGCACCAACACAAACACCCGCCGCACAAAATGCGGTTGGTTGTTGGTTTGTGGAGGAAGCGCGCGCCGCACTGACACCTTGCTGCACACCGCTGTTGTGGTCTTCTTCTCATCTCATCTCTTTCACGCTGTTGCAGGGGCGGACGCAGAGTCAACTTGCTCGCGCGCGCGCGCCCACACCGCTCCACTGCGCGCCCCTCTCCCATCTGCGAATGCTGTGGTCGCCTCCTCCTCCTCCTCCTCCTTTGAGGGGAAGGGGAGGAGGTGCGCTGCCTCGCTGCCTCGCCCCAAACCACACCCATCCCTCACCTGCCCCCACCTGAGCAAGAGAGCACGCGTGGCCAACCACACTTACCAGGGAGACGACAAGAGGCAGGAGGCGGGCTTCTGGACGTGGCAGCGAAAAGTGGAAAAAGGCACGGCAGCGCAAGTGCCTGAAACTCAAGCAGGGAGCAAAGCACAAGCGAAGCACAGCAAAGCACAAGCAAAGCAAACACAGCACACACACCAGAGAGGAAAAACCAGGCGGAAGCAAAAAGTGTGCCACGTGCTCCGGGTTGTTGTGAGCGCGGGTGCGCAGTTTGACAACCCCAAGCGCTGTGGTGGATACACGAGCGAACCTTGCACTTCCAAGCATTTTTCGCTTGCCACTCTGTGCGCTGGTCAGCATCTACGATTCGTTTCCCTGACTCAGCAATAAAATACCATATTGTGTGTCCTGACGTGGAACTGAATTCAGTCCAGACTATCTGAAGGCGTCTTTCTTTCGATACCCCGTCAAGGCGCGGTGGCGTTTGTCCGCCTAGTTGTGGCGTTGTGCCAAGTCCTTCCGCCCTTCGAGACGACATACATGCATGCCAGTGCCAGAGATGGTTGTGCTGTTGGGTTGTGCGGCTGCTGTGTGTTTGGCTGCGCATCAGCGCGAAGGATCAAAGGGTGTCATGTGTCAAAGTCACATCTCATGCCGCAAACACCGATTGCTCAGCTCTTTGCTTGCTTGCTTTGCTTCACTCACCTGCTTGCTTGCTGATCGGCAAACATTGTTCACAATCCACCCCACCCTTTGGCGACGGCAACTTCCGAATACCCACAGCAACAGCAACAGCAACTTGCGAACACAAACACACACACACACACACACACACGCACACTGCAAGTTCTTCGCCACACTGCCGTGGAAAGAAGGCAAGGCACGCCAGGCATCCCATCCATCAAACAAAGCAGCAGCACCACCTGCCACACCAGCAGCAAGCCACGGAACAACAGCAGCACCATCCGCTCACAACAGCCATACCTACCGCATCTGCTGCACACCACACACCAATCCGGCGTTCTGTTCATCTCGGCAACCAGGCAGGCATTCATTCTCCGATCCAACCAACACCAAACCACAGATACACCAGATCCCTCGAGCGGATCAACACAGCAACCCTGCATAATTTGTGAGACGGCCTTGACTGCCTGAGCACAAACAAGAAACTTGCATCAACTACCTCCGAGCATCGAATACTGAGCAACAGCAACAACTGAAAGGGTGTGCAACGCGACCTCACCATGGCTGCACTCGGCGTCACGGACAACCTGGCCTCGCTGGAAAACCTGGACGAGGCCACTTTGCTCAAGGAGCTTCAAACTCGCTTCGACAACGATGTCATCTACACCTACGTGGGCGAGATTCTCGTCTCAGGTGCGTGTGTGTGCGTGTGTGCTTATGTGTGCTTGTGTGTGCGTGTGTGTGCTTGTGTGTGCGTGTGCGTGCGTGTGCGTGTGCGTGTGTGCTTGTGTGTGCTTGTGTGTTTGTCATGTGCGTGAATGCGTGTGCTTGTGTGCGCTTGTGTATGCGTGTGTGTTTTTGTCATGTGTGTGAATGCGTGCGACTTGACACGTGTATGTGATTCGCTCACTCAAACCACACACGCATACACGCACGCGCACACGCACACACACACGCACACACACACACGCGATCCTTTTAAACAAACACACGTTGCCTCCCCTCGAACTTGCGCATGCAGTGAACCCGTTCAAGCAGATTGACGGCCTGTACAGCGATGAGCAAGCGCGCAAATACGCTGTTGTTGGGGACAAGGGCGCCGTCAAGCCTCACCTCTTTGCCATTGCAGACATCGCCTTCCAGGTGTGTGTGTGTGTGTGTAGTGCGTGTTTGTTTGTGTGGTGGTTTGTCTGTGTGTGTGTATGTGTCTGTGTTCGATTGCCTGGGCTGCTTACACACACACACGCACGCACATGCACTCATATTCATACACACACAACACTCGCACACACATACACTCACATTCATACACAAACACTCGCACGCACATGTACATGCACTCACTCGCACACATACCCCCTCCCAACATTCGCATGTGCAGAACATGGTGCAAGGCGGCAAGGACCAGGCGTGTGTCATCTCTGGCGAGTCTGGCGCAGGAAAGACAGAGGCCGCAAAGCTGTTTGTGAAGCACCTCATCCACGTGAGCCACGGCTCGGAGGTACAGGGCCTGCACACCAAGCTGGTGCAGGTCAACCCGCTCTTGGAGGCGTTTGGCAACGCGCAGACGCTCATGAACGACAACAGCAGCCGCTTCGGCAAGTTCACGGAGATTGTGTTCAGCAAGGACGGCAGCATCCGCGGCGCCGTCATGAGCCAGTACCTCCTGGAGAAGTCTCGCGTCGTGCACCAGAACCCGGGCGAGCAGACCTTCCACGTGTTCTACCTGCTGCTTGCCGGCGCGACCGACGACGACCGCATCACATATGCGCTACGCCAGCCAGAGGAGTACGGCTACATTGCCAGCAACCCAGATGCCCTGGAGGCCATTGGCACCCCCGCGCTCGCCGCAGCAAGCAGAGAGCTGCACGAGTGCATCCGCACCATCGGCTTCACCGACGACGAGAAGGCCAACCTGTGGGCCCTCCTCTCGGGCGTGCTGCTGCTGGGCAACCTGGACTTCACAGACGTGGGCGATGCAGCGGAGGTGGCCGCCGACAAAGCGCTCCTGCAGGACTGCTGTGCGCAGCTTGGCTTGGACGAGCACACGCTCAAGCTCGCCCTCACCCGCAGCGTGAACGTGATCCGCGGCGAGGAGACGGAGCGCGCGTACAAGCTACACGAGGCCGTGGACTGCCGCAACGCAACAGCAAAGGCGCTGTACAACCGCGCGTTCTCGTGGATCTTCGAGCGGTGCAACCAGCTCCTCGGCCCGCACAAGCGCAACCCTTCCGACCACAGCATCGGCATCCTGGACATCTTTGGGTTTGAGTGCTTCGACACCAACAGCTTTGAGCAGCTGTGCATCAACCTCGCCAACGAGCAGCTGCAGTTCTTCTTCAACGAGCACATCTTCCGCATGGAGCTTGTGGAGTACGAACGCGAGGGCATTGACGGTGCCGCCATCACCTACACAGACAACAAGCCCCTGCTTGACCTGTTTCTCAAGTCAAAGACGGGGCTCATCGCCGTCCTAGACGAAGAGGTGTGTGTGTATATGGGTGTGTATACGTGTGTGCATGTGTGTGTATATGTGTGTGTATATGTGTGTGTGTGTGCGTGACTGCTTTTCTAGAAGTGTGATTGGCCACAGTTGTGAATGATGAGTCGCTGTCATACCACTCACACGCACATACGCACGCACACACACACACACGCACGCGCACACACACTCACACACTCACACTCACACACTCACACTCACTCACACTCACTCACACTCACTCACACTCACACACGAACGCATGCATGCACGACAGAGCAACTTCCCGCGCGCAACAGACGACACGCTTGTGGAAAAGCTGCATGGACGCTTCACGGAGCACAACGACTACACCCGGCCGCGCGGAAACGAGTGCCAGTTCACCTTGCGTCATTACGCTGGACACGTGGAGTATGACGCCGACGGCTTCCTCTACAAGAACAGAGACACACTCGCAGTTGATGTCATTGGCGCCCTCCGCGTCAGGCAAGTTTCTGTGGTTTGCACGTGTGTGCATGTGAAAATGCACAAGATGCTCTTGTGTGCTTGTATGAATGCGTGAATGTTCATGCATGTGCGTGTGCTTGTATTTGCATTTGTTAGGGTGACGACAAGTGTTGACTTGGAGGGAAATTCACCCACGCTTTCACTTCTTCCCCTATGTCACGTTCTCACCCCACCCACACATCCTCATACATACGCATGCATGCATACACACGCCCGCACATCCACTGTCTGTCCCCACTCCAACAGTGAGAACGAGCTTGTACGCAAGTTGTTTGGTGCTGAACCCGCAAAAGCGGTCAAGGGCAATCGCAAACACGGCCCCAAGGGCAAGCTGCTCAACCTGAAGGAATCCAAGGCCCTCATGCGTGCAAGCACACGTCAGGCACGCGCCGATCTCGCCCGCAAGCAGCGCGCCTCCGTTGCCACGACATTCAAGGTGGGAGTTTGGTGGGATGGTTGGGATGGGGAGTGGGTTGTCAGCGTTAGCAGGGACGAGGGAAACGGGAAGCCGTGCCGGAGTGGTACTGTGTTCTTGCCAACAACACAACCGCGCGTGGCTGCAAGCATCATTATGCACTTGAACACGAAGTGTACGCATCGATGCTCACTCACATCGACGCACACACACACACACACACACACACACACACACACACACACACACACACACACACACACACACACACACACACGTAGAAATCGCTGTCCGAGCTGATGGGGCGGCTAAACGTTGCGTCGCCGCACTTCATTCGCTGCGTGAAACCAAACCTGGACAAGCAGTGTGAGCTGTTTGATGAAGACTTGGTGTCGAAGCAACTCAAGTACACAGGCATGCTCGAGACAACACGCATTCGTCGCGAAGGCTTTGCATACAGGCCCCTCTTTGCAGACTTTGTCTCAAGGTAAAGCACAGCTGCTTCTGCGTGCGTGCGTGTGTGCGTGTGTGCGTGTGCTTGTGTGCGTGCGTGTGTGTGTGTATGTGCGTGTGTGCGTGTGTGTGTGTATGTGAGGGCGTGCATGTGTTGTTGAATTTGTGTGATTCGTGTTGCATGTGTGTACGTGTTTTTGTGTCGCGCGCAACATCCATGTACGTTCCACCATGCATGTGGTTCTTTGAGCTCACCACTATCACTCGACTGCACCGCTGTTCATGATTCGGGTTCTGCAGGTACAAAGTGCTGGCGTGGAACGTTGGAGAGAGCGCGTCTGCCCAGGCCACGTGCCGCCGCATCCTTGACAACGCCGGCATCGATGGGTGAGAACATGTAACAGAACTGGCAGCGTTGGTGGTGGTGTGAATGATGATATGAGCGTTCGTGTTGCTGTGCTCACGTTTGTGTTGGCGCTGATTGATTACGTCACAATCACACACGTGTACGCACACACGTGCACACGCTCACACTCACACACAAATTCACACACACACACACACGCGCGCACATCCCCGTTGTGCTGTGTATTCTGGCGCCATCCACAGGTACTTTGTTGGCAAGACCAAGGTGTTCCTGCGCTACTGGCACGTGGACCATCTCAGCGCCGCCGTGCGACCCGTACAGCTGGCTGCTTCCAGGCTGCAGAGCGCCGTGCGCGGGTTCTTTGCGCGCCGGCGTGTGCGCACCATCATGGCTGCTGCTGCCGAGGAGAAGAAGCAGGCCGAGCGCTTCCTGATTGGCGCTGAAAGGGCCGGTCTGGGCGTCCGTGATGTCCTATTGCACATGTGCGAGTTGGACGAACGCCGCTTCCAGGCCGCACAGCTGAGCGACGACAACATGCTTGGTGCCGATGATGATGACGATGAGGAGGACGATGAGGAGGAAGAGGTGTATCCGCCACACAACCCGAACCCACCACTGCCGCCGCGCACGCCTGCCGGCAACAGCCCGTCACTGCAGCAACGGCGACGCACAGACCAGCGGGCGAAGAGCGTCAAGTGGTTCCGTGATGTGGAGAAGCAAAAGGGCGCAGGCATGGCCGAAAACTCGTTTGCACAGTGGTTCCACGGCGTCATCTCCCGCAGGGTGCGTGCATGGGTATCGCGCGCGCGCGTGTGTGTATCGTGTGTGTGTGTGTGTGTGTGTATGTGTGTCGCATGCTTGTTTGTTGGTTGTTCGTGCGTATCGTTTGTGTGTGTGTGCATAGTTTTGTCTGTGGCATTGGCTCTGCGCGTGCATCTCTGGCTCTGTTCCCTCAAGCAGTCACAACAGTCGCTCACCTGCAACACACTCCCAACACACACACACACGCACACACGCACGCACACGCACCGTCACACCAACAGGAGGCCGAACACATGCTGCGTGACAAGGAGAGCGGAACGTTCCTGGTGCGTGTGGCGGAGAGTCGATTTGGATACTCTCTCTCGCTCATCCACGAGGGCCGCGTGAAGCACTTTATGATCAACGTCAACGGCGATGAGGAATATCAAGTGGGTCGAGTGTGTGTATGTGTGTGTGTGCGTGCGTGCTTGTGCGTGCGTGCGTGCTTGCTTGCTTGCTTGCTTGTGCGTGCGTGTGTGTGCGTGCGTGCGTGCTGCGTGCTTATGTGTGTGCGTGTGCGCATGTGCCTGTGTGTGTGTGTGTGTGTGTGTGTGTGTGTGTGTGTGTGTGTGTGTGTGTGTGTGTGTGCGTGTCGTCTCGCAAGTTTCCCCGTGCTTCCCACTTTCCCCCCAGCGCCTCGCTCACTCGCCCTCGTCACCATCCGTATTGCGCTTTCCTCACCTCGCACACCACCCGTCCTCCTGCAGCTTGTTGGCAACGACCGCCGCTTCCCAAGTTTGAATGCCATTGTCAACTACCACGAAACACACTCCGTCACCAGCGCACATGACAGGCTCAAGCGCCCCTGCCCACGCCCAGACTCGGCAAACCTTGTCGAGCTGTCGTGACATGACATGACACCTGCTAAGCTTTGCTTTTGTTTGTTTGTTTGTTTCGTTTCGTTTCGTTTCGTTTGTGTTTGCTCGTGTTCAGATGTTACAAGCGTGAACGCCACAGATGTGAAAAGCGAGTGAGCGGGCGTAGTTAAACACCGCTTGCGTCAATTTCATTCTTCCCTTCCCTTCACCTTCACCTCTTTCCTTTCCTTCGCCTATGCTGACTGACTGTTAATGATTCTGTTGCCAAAGCGCACGGTGCTCGGTTCTCGGCCGTGTGTGCTTTTGTTCTTTCATGGCCGCGTCCAGGCGTCCCTGCCAGCCACCACGCTGGACACACGCGCTCCACAATTGAAAAACACGCGAAAGCATGATTTGATGACACCGAACTGCACCATGCGGGCACGCACACAACACAATACAACACAACACAATACAACACAACACACACAATACAACACAAAACACACACACACACAGAGACCAAGGTGCATTCACATATGAAGACAAATGTTTTCACTCACTCACTCACCCAATGCGTGTTTACCACTCTCAAAGAAGCAAGCGGGTTCGTTTACGTTACAGGCACCACGATAAACTGATGATTAAGTCAAGCCAGAGACAGGGAGACATCCCGTGACAATAGGATGAAGGCACAACGGCATGATAACAAGTCCGGACAAGAAAGAGACGGGTCACATCAGGTGCGTTGCATCGCGGCAGTCAGTAGCGGCCGGTGGTGGTATGCGACCTGTGCCGCGCGTGGGGAACATCAACATCGTCGCTGGCGTGCACGACAGAATCAGCTGAAGAGTCAGCCCATCCCCCTCCACGTCCTCGTCCTCGGCGGTCCGGCTGTTGTTGTTGTTGACGGCGACGGGTGCGCTGCGACGATGATGATGATGGTGGCGGTGCTGTGGGTGTGGCTGTTGCTGAGGGTGCAGGCTGTACGCGAAGAAATTGGGGGGGGGGGATGTGGTTGGTGGGGGTGAGGTGGAAAAGTAGGGGGAATGGAGGGGAGGGTGGAAGGAAAATGTCAAAGGGGAAGTATGAACCAATGCGACAGAGGCAGGGCAATTCACAATGCCAAACCCTCAGCAGCCAGGAAGGGAGGGAGTGGCGACGAAGAAGCAAACACACAGACAACGTGTGCATGTTTGTACCTGGGTAAGAGAGGCCATGATGGACACGAAAGCTGAGTGCCCCTTGTGCATGGCTGTCGTGGACCACCGTCTCAAGCACTGCAGTACACCCTGGCGTGGCCGTCGTAACGCACGTGGTACACGTGTGAGCAACACAAGGAAGGACAGCGAATTGTGTGTGGTGTGGGCGCAACCCGGAAAGCACGCACACGCGCACGCACACACACACAGACACACACACACACACACGCACACACACGTACACACACGCACGCACACGCACACATGCACGTATACAGACACCTACCTACCTGTCTGAGTTCGTTGACGAGGGAGTCAATCTCTGGTTCACCGGCAACCAAGGTGGGGTGGATCACGCGCGTGTACGCACTGTCGGCCGCCTAATGTGGCACACAGACCCAGGGGGCGTTCAGCAGCAAGAGGGGAGAGGGCCGGGTGAGCGCTAGTTGAAGCAACACAAAGCAGTCGATCAGCAAAGCAAGCCGCCGCCAAGCACAGCCTGGGGGTATGCTCGTACCTCTTTGCTGAAGACGAGCGCCAACAAACACACTGTCTTTCCCACATAATAAAACGGCACCCTGCACAGAGGTGTGTGTGTGTGTGTGTGCGTGTGTGTTGTATGTTGTGTGCGTGTGGTGCACGTGAGCGCATGGAGAAATTCGCACAGGCGCACATGTCTGCGTGTGAAGTATGCGTGTTCACGCGCGTGATTTTGTTGCTGTTGTGCTCCGTGGTGTGATCAAGGGTCATGCCGTGAGATGGAAGATAAATGTGCAATGCCATGAGATGGAAGATAAATGTGCAACAGATACACACATGTGTCACAGATACACACGGCCCCTTACCAAGAAAGAAGGATGTCTGCGACTGCAAACACGGCAAAGGACACGGCGTAGCAAACCCAGTACTTCATCCATCGCATCTGTTGTCGTGCATTTCCCAGACACAAGCAGAAGCAGACAGGTGTGTGTGCGTGTGCGTGTGTGTGCGTGTGTGTGTGTGTGTGCGTGTGGGTGTCATCAGAAGCACAGATGGTCAGGAGCGTTCCATAACCACATGCACATAAACAAACGACATGGTGCACGCAGCGCGTTTTCAACATGTCGCTCACTCCTCAACGGCCCATGCACAGCGCGTACGTATTCATCGTTGTTGCGGGTTTGGATGGCTTTGAAGGAAGCATCTATGGAGGAGGAGCAAGCAGCATTGGGCCGTTGCGTCAACATCCCGGTCGTCAACAAGCCAATGTGAGTCATCACCATCAACGCCATGTCAGACATCATCAACACCACACATCGGGTGGATCAGATCAACATAACATAATGTAACGTGCAAACGCTTTCTTCAGGCCACCCACCTCAAGTATGAGCACACACACACACACATACACACACACATACACACACACATACACACACACACACACACACACACACACACACATACACACACACGCATGCATACATACACGCGCGCACAGGCAGGGGTGGAACGTACATGCAGGCCACAGCACCGCGACAACCTCAGCCGCGGAACCCAAGAACCACCCAGTCATCACGACTTGTTGCTCGTTGGTTGGTGTTGGTGGAATTTGTAGGCACTACACTATATGCTGTTGTACAAGAAATGATGACTCATCACATCGGTCGGCCCAAACAACAAAAGGCGCCCAAACTGCTGCTCGCGTCATCTGTTGCGTCAAACGCAAGTCTTTCGCATCATCACACGCACACGACTTTGTGCTCCTATTCCCAGCCACACACACGGGCGCACGCATTCACACGCCCCCTCGCCTCCCTCGCAAAGATGCGCGCAAGCAAAGCGACGCAGCTGCGGCTGTTGCTGTGGAAGAACTGGCTGTTGCTGGTGAGCGTGAGCGTGTGTTTGATCGTAGCGGTGTGTGTGTGTGTGCTTGTGCTTGTGTGCTTATGTGCTGTGTGTGCTCTGTGTGTGTGTGTGCTTGTGTGTGTGCGCGTGCTTGTGTGCTGTGTGCTGTGTGTGTGTGTGTGTGCGCGTGTGCGTGTGTGTGTGTGTGTGTGTGTTGTGTGCTGTGTGTGACAGTCCCGCTCCCCGTCCCTCACAGCACCTCCTCCTCCTCCTCCTGTTCCCCTGGGCGTACTGTCACTTTTCAGAAACGCCGCCCTCTTGGCACCTGTGCGGAAATCTTCGTGCCTGTGCTGCTCTTCTTGCTGTTGTGGAGCCTCCGCTCCATCATCGACACCGAAAAGTTCTCAGACAGTAAGTACAATCCCATGCGTGTGATGTGTGCTGGGTGTGTGTGTGTGTGTGCGTGCGTGCGTGTGTGTGTGTGTGTGTATGAGAAGGGTTCAGGCACGCGCACACACAGACACACACACACACACACACACGCACACACATTCTCTCTCTTTTTACAATGCACACCCATGCACACATCCCTGCATACGCGCTCACTGCTGCATTTATGCACACTTTTCCTTGTTGCTGCAGCCACGTTTTGTTCCCGGGCCGTGTCTGGACTGGACTACCCGCGGTTTTACCACAACGAGCAGTTTGGCGAATTCTCGCAGCTCTTTGACGACTTCAACTGCGAGCCAGATCGGCCCGTCCTCTTCACCGTGTTTGGGACGCCCAACAGCTTCCCCATCAAGTTTGAGGATGACTCCGACACCATTTACCCCGTCATCGCATACGCACCAAATGATGTTCCTCAAGGTACACCGTCGTCGCTGTGTGCAACGTGTGTGTGTGTGTGTGTGCAACATGTGTGCAACATGTGTGTGTGTGTGTGTGTGCGGATGAAAGCTTGTGAGTGGGAAATAATTTCATGCCCGTTGCAGCGGCACGCACACTTTGCATGTGGAAACGACACCAGGCTGATCCCAAATGCACGCATACATGCATTCAGACATACATCAACTCATGTCGCCCCTCCCCCTTTTCCACACATACACACATACACACACATACACACATGCACACATTCGCACGTTCAGTGAACGAGGTGATGGAGCGGTTCCAGCAGCTGCTGACGACGTTCTTCGCGTTTGACTTTGTCAACGGGCCGCACAACATGACGGGATATGCAACAGAGGAAGACCTGCTCACCGGCTACGACCAAAGCAGCGGCAACAGCTTTGGCCTTGGTACGCTGTAGCACTGCGTCGTACATCTAGCATCTGGCGCTCGTGTCTGTTGCGCAATGGCTGCAGCAACCACCGTCGCCTCCTCGCTGGCCAGTGTCACCAGCATCACGTCATTGTTTGTGTCTGCTTGTGGTGTCGTGTAGCCACGTTCATTGTACCTTTCACGTCACCTCCTCGTTCCTAACACACGACCTCTCGTGCACACCTTCATGCCTTGTGTCCATGTGCTGTCACACTGCACGCATCACGTCACGCCGTCCTGAACAGCCGTCATCTTCCACGAGGATGACGGCAGCGGCGGGCGAGGTCCACTGGGGTTCACGCCAGACCACGTGCATTACGTCATGCGCATGCCAGAGGGCCTGCCCTCAAACAGCTTTGAGGGTTGGGCTACGGAGCGCTCCTATCCAGAATTTGAAGCCCTGGTCAGTCCACGCAGGAGCTGGATGCGTGCATGGATGGATGGATGGATGGATGGATGGATGGATGGATGGATGGATGGTGTTTGGTGATGTGTGGACGTGTGTTCTTGTTTTTTTGTGTGTGTGTATGTTACATCACGTTACCTCTGACCGATGGTCTTTTGCCTTCGACGCAATTCTGCGCTGCATAATGTTGCCTGCACTTCTATTTTCACACACACACACACACACCATTTCCAACGACCGCCCCTCCCTACCCCCATTCATCACAGGGCCCCGATGTGCGGTCGACGTACTTTGACGAGAGCCACTTCCTGTCACTGCAGAGCACTCTCGACACCGCCATCATCGCAGCCATCAACGGCTCCATTCCCCCCGTCGTTCCGGTGTGTGTGTGTATGTGTGCGTGTGTGTGATTCGAAATGCGTGACGAATGTACCAATCGTCGCTTATTCCCTCTCCGCCTCCCACGCCTCTCGTGCCACTCAAATCCCTCATGTCACCATCACCATCGTCACTGTTCCAGCGGCTGTCTCCGCTGCCGTGGCCGGCGTACTCGTCCGACGGCTTTATCTACGCCCTCCGCGACACGCTGCCGTTTGTCCTCGTCATCTCCTTCCTCTTCACCGTCACATCGTACGTGTCGCGCCTTTGTGTGTGTTTGTGTTTGTGTGTGTGTGTGTGTGTGTGTGTGTGTGTGTGTGTGTGTGTGTGTGTGTGTGTGTATGTACGTGCTGGTAACGTTTGCCCAAGAGCACAGGGGCCGTCCAAATAGCACACACACACACACGTTTTCTACGCTCTCTCAACGTTCGCTCGCCTTTGACATGGCTTCCTCCTCATTGATTTTTGGTCTGCCTGCAGACTCGTGCGCCAGATTGTGCAGGAGAAGGAAAAGCGGTTGAAAGAAGCAATGACGATGATGGGCCTTGATCCAAAGGTCAGCGAGTGCATGTGTGTGTGTGTGTGACGGTGCAATTTGTGGCAAGTCGGTGACTTGTTGCTTCTTCGCCCTGTCTTTACCTGCTTCGCTTGCATTCATTTGCACGCTCGTACGTTCCTCCCACAACACCTCTACGACTCACACCATGTTACACCTACACACACACATACACATACACACATGCACACACACATACACATGCACGACTGCATGACAGATCCATTGGGTTGCGTGGTTCATCCGCGCCATTGTTCTTCTCTTTATCAGCATCGTCCTCATGATCCTCATCTTCGAGGTGCGTCGCACGCGTGGTGTGGCGTGGCGTATGTACACGTACATCGACTTTGCTCGCTTGCGTGTGTGTGCACGTCTTTGGGTGGTTGGAATGTGTGCGTGTTGTGCACATGCGTGTCGTATTGTGCATTGACCTTGCAAGCGCGTCTCTGCCTTTTGCCTTTGTATTCCACCGTGCATGCTCGCTCACGTGGATGCTCGTGTCTGTTACATCCGCTGCACCCAAACGGTTCCACACGATGGTGTCTTGTAGGCTGGAAAGTTTACGCAGTATTCAGAGACGGGTGTTGTGTTCATTTTCCTTCTCCTCTTCTCCCTCTCCACCATTTGTTTCTGCTTCCTCGTCAGGTACGCACCACACTTGCGCAACAGTGTGTCCGTGTTTGTTCACTGCACCCCGAGCTGAACCGCACCGAGGTCGTGTGTGTTCAAAAGCAACCTCTCACCCTTCACCTCAACACCAACTCCTCCTACACTTATTTCTACAGCACGTTCTTCTCGAAAGCGAGCACGGGTGCGGCTGCGGCAGGGCTGCTGTTCTTCATCGCCTTCACCCCAAATTATTACATCGGCCCACGCTTTGAGTCCGTCTCCGCCAGCGACAAGACCGGGTTCTGTCTCCTCTCCCCAACATGTGTTGGTATCGGCACATACATCCTCAGCGTCTTCGAGTCCAGCGGTGCGTGCGTGAGCGTGTGTATGTGTATGTGTGTGTGTGTGTGTGTGTGTGTGTGTGGTGTGTGTGTGTGTGGTGTGTGTGTGTGTGTGTGTGTGCATACACCCCCGCCCCACACGTATTGCATTTGATATTTATCAACCTACACAGTCCTCACACACTTAACAACTCGCATACAACGCCTATATTCAAACCCGCCCCCCCCCCAACCACCACCACCACCACCACTCACCACGATCACCACTACCACGACGACGTTGGGCAGGCGAGGGCCTTTCGTTTGCGAATCTCGACAGCGGATCGACGGAGAAGGACAGCTTCTCCATGGCGGACGTGTTTGGTATGCTGATCGCCGACAGCGTCATCTACCTCGTGCTCGCTTGGTACGTCACCAACGTGCTGCCGGGCACATACGGCATCCCCCGCCCATTCTACTTCTTTCTCCAGCCCTCATATTGGCGCGGTGTCCACAAGGGCCCCGTGTACTCCAACAAGAACGCAAGTCAGTTCCACGATACTGTTGTTGCTTTTGTTTCGTTGTTTGGTGTTTTCGTTGTTGTTGCTCTTGTCGCTCCTCTTGCTGACTTTCTACCGTGTGTGTGTGTGTGTGTGTGTGTGTGTGTGTGTGTGTGTGTGTGTGTGTGTGTGTGTGTGTGTGTGTGTGTGTGTGTGAACGGGACATGTATCATACGCCTTTTACTGTGTTTCTGTGTTGTTTGCCCCCACTGTGTCCTCTAACGCCACGCCTCAACTGCAAACTGACGTGTTGTTCCTGGCACCAGACGATGATCCCAATCTCTTTGAGCCGCTGCCCCAGGTAACCACACGTCTCCACAACACAACACAGCAGTTCACATCACCACACATCACCACACATCACATCACCACTCATCACATCACAGCAGTTCACATCCCACCATGTTGTTTCCCGCCACGCTTCCGTGTGGCAGCAACAACCATCACAACTGTGTGTCGCAGGCGTATTGCTTCACACGCATGCAGTGGCAACTCACCCTTGTCAACTGCCCACCAGCCACGTCACAACAACACGTTCACCTGTCCACACAACTAGCACGATCCTCACCACCAACCACCAATCGCCATCATGCCATCTGTTGCCATTGTCGCTGTTGCTCACTACAGGGCACACCGATTGGGGTGCATGTTGAGAACCTGTGCAAAGTGTTCAAGGCGGAGACGGGCGGGAAGAAGGTAGCCCTGGACGGGTTCACATTTGATTGCGCCGAGAACCAGATTACAGCGCTCCTGGGCCACAACGGTGCGTAGTTTGTGACAACAAGGATCACTGTATTGTTGACCACAGCGTCGGGCAACTGTTTTGCTGCTTGGTTGTGTGTGTGTGTGTACATGTGTGCGCGTGTGTCGTCTAACAATCACATCCAATTACCAGCCCATCCACCCTTTCATCCTTTCATCTACACATCCATTCACAATCCCCCATTCAACACGCTTGCTGAATTTATTTGCATACACACACGCATACACACCTCAGGCGCGGGCAAGACGACGGCCATGTCGATTCTCGTCGGGCTGTTTCCGCCAACATCCGGCACCGCCGTTGTCAACGGACACGACATCACCACAGATATGGCCGGGGTACGTGCTGTCGGCTGCATCTCTGTTGTGGTTTCTCACGTTCAATGAATCAAGGAGCACGTGCACTTTCCTACTCACGCATACGACACACGCACACACACACACACACACACACTCACTCACGCACTCACTCACTCACACACACACGCACACGCACATCGTTACCTTCATGTGCGCGTGTTCGTGGTGTGGCCACGGTTCCCTTTTTCCAGGTCCGCTCGTCGCTCGGGCTGTGTCCGCAGTTTGATGTTCTGTTTGACGCGCTGACCTTTGCAGAGCACATTGTGTTCTTCAGCCGCCTCAAGGGCCTCACAGGTGCGTATTCACATGCAACCCCCACATACACACGTGTTTGGTGCGTGAGTGTGTACGAGAATTTGTGTGTGTATGTGTACAAGAATTTGTGTGTTGTGTGTGTGTGTGTGTGCTCTGCAGAGTGCACACGTGCACGCGTTGCCATCAGCACATCACGCCACCTTACGAAATTGCATGTCTGCCGTTCAATCTCTTCATTGTGCAGTGGAAGAGGCAAAGCAGGAGGTGCTGAAGTATGCCAAGGACTTGGATTTGGAGGTCCGTGGTGCCATCAGTCAGTGCAGCTGTGATGAACATGCGACAGAGGCATTCTCGTACCTGCTGGCACTGTTGATGCTCCTTTTCACTCGCATGCTTTACGCAATTGACATTTTCGCCACCTCACCCAAACCGCACCCACACATACACGCACACGCACCGCCTTGCAACATGCTGTTGTACCTTCTCATGCGCAACACTGCATATGTCGACGACAGGAGAAGACGAATGACCGGGTGGACACGCTCTCTGGCGGGCAGCGACGCGCTGTCTCCGTCAGCATTGCGCTGTGTGGCGATTCAAAGGGTGCGCACATGACAGTCTTGCAAGGCGACACGCATTGGCTGTGTGTGTGTGTGTGTGTGTGTGTGTGCGTGTGTGTGTGTGTGTGTATGCGTGGATATGTGTGTACACGTGTATGCGTGTGTGTATACGTACGTATGTGTGGACGTGTTTGCGTCGACACCTTGCGACCGCTTAACCTAACGAATCCTCAACCCCTACCCCCTGACCCCAACCCAACCGCTCCACTTCTACACCTGTTTCCTTCCTTCCCCCCCCCCCCCCCACCGGCCACCATTCGAACAGTCGTGCTCCTGGATGAACCAAGCAGTGGCATGGATCCGTACAAGAGACGACACACGTGGGATCTGCTGCTCAAGCACAAGCAAGGCCGCACCATTCTGCTCACGACGCATTTCATGGAGGAAGCAGACCTCCTTGGCGATCGCATCGCCATCATGGCTGCGGGCAAGCTGCGAACCATGGGGTCCTCGTTCTTCCTCAAGAGCAAGTTCGGTGTCGGCTACCACATGAACGTCACCAAGACGCCTGTGTGCGACGTTGGCGCCATTGCCTCCACCATCGCCGAGCACGTGGAGGACTCTGAGCTGGTGTCCAACGTGGGCACGGAGCTCACGTTCATCCTGCCGCATTCCCAAGTCGACAAGTTCCCAGCCATGTTTGACACGCTTGACGCGCAGAAGGAGAAGCTTGGCTTTGAGGCGTACAACGTCTCTGTGACCACCATGGAGGAGGTGTTTCTGAAGGTGGGCGAGGGCAACGAAAAGGCACTTGTACTCAGCAACGACGCATCACACGACCACGACAACCACGCACACAGTGATGGTGTTGAGCAGAAGGTGCTTGTGGATGCAGAGCACAAGCACAGCGCGAAGGTGGTTGATGCCGGAACCCCGCTTGTCGGTGCACAGCTGCTGTGGTCGCAGATGCGCGCCATGCTTACCAAGCGCGCGCTCTACTCTTCTCGCAACAAGTGGGCCATCATCACGCAGGTGCGTGCTGGCATGTGTGTGCGTGTGTTCACGCATATGTGTGTGTGTGTGTGCGGCGACAAGTTTTATATCACGCGGGCTATAGAGCCACCATGTATGCTCACAATTGCGCACATGTACACACATACATGCACACTCACAACCACACACACTCACAACCACACGCACACAACCACACACGCACACGCGTATGCATAAGCAGCTTGTGATTCCGCTGTTCTTTGCCGTCGCAGCTCTGGCGATTGCGCGGCTTGGCGAAACGACAAACGACACGCCCTTGCTCGCCCTGGACATGACGACATATCCAAACCCGGTCACCGTTTTTGCATCCCCGAACGATCTCGCAGGCGACTACCGCTCATGTGCGTTGGCTGTGTGTGTGTGTGTGTGTGTCTGTCTGTCTGTGTGCCTGTGTCTGTGTGTGTGTGTGTCTGTGTGTCTGTGTGTGTATTGTGTCAGTGTTTGTGTATTGTGCGAGTTTAACATGATGTGTGTCATGCTTTGCTCGCATTCCTCGCTCGTTTCACCATCAGCACCACCACCACCACCATCACAACCACCATGCTTTTATCACCGCCACTGTGCCTGTGAGCAGTCTTGGATCGTGCGCCAGCGCGGCGCGTGGCGGACATGGGCGTCCGCACGTCTCCGCTGCAGGCATCGCTCTTCTCGCATCTCACCGACCACATCAGTAGCCTGAGCGGTGTCGTTGGCGACGTCGCCTCTGCCCCAATTAACACGTCAGGCACGCTATTGGGCCGACAAGACCTGCAGGACTACGAGCAGTCCAACTTTTTCGAGTCACATGTGGCGGCGTTCACCATGGAGCCTGGCGCGTTCTATGTCACCTACAACAGCAGCAGCAACCAGTGTGGGCTGCTGCACCCAGACCTCAGTGTCGACGCCGGCCCGCTCTCGCTCGCCTTTAATGAGACCTACACCATCACCGTGCTTGATCCGGCGTTTAGCCAGATTTTCTTTTCCAACGGCAGCACGGGCGCAACGCAGTTTCGCCCAAGTGACTACAAGCAGTTGTTTGTCACGGCACAGTCACTGCCGCTGATGGCCATCACGCTCGATGTCACCCAGCAGCTCATCGACACGCTCGCAAACGAGGTCGTGGTTGTGTATGTATGCGTGCGTGCGTGTGTGTGCGTGTGTGTGTGTGTGTGTGTGTGTGTGTGGCACGTGTATGTGTACGAATGTGTACGAATGTGCACATGTGTTGCGTGTGTATGTGTGTGCTTATGTGTGTTCTTTGGGTTAACGCTGGCCCGGTCGACAGCTGCCTAAATGCATTCGGTCATGCCTGCTGCTTTTTAACTTTTTCACCCAAACTGCTCCCTCACCCATCATCGCACATGCATACACACACATTCACACGTGCGGTGCCCCCTTATGTAGAACAACACGCTGTATCTGTTCTGCGGCAACACGACAATGGCCCCATTGCCACTGCCAATCAGCTTGGCAGCAGCACAGGCCACAATCCCCGATTTCGTCAATGCCTATCTTGGCTTCTCGCCCCGCGCTCTCCACAGCCCTCCACGTACGCTGAAGTACAACCCTACACGTGATCATTGATGACATCTCGGTTGCCATCAGCTCATGTTCGCAGCACACGCACATTCACTCGCTCACCCACCGTCCCGCACTCACACACTCACCCTCCCTCACAAACACAAACACACAAACACACACATACACACGCAACACATGCACACACGCTCAACCCCACACGGTTCTTCCCGCCCCGCCCCCCCCCCCCACACACACACGCGCGCGCACTCAAACAACAGAATCGCTGAATGTGCTGGGGAATGCGATGGCGCGGGAGTATTTGGGCCCGTCAGCGTCCATCCACGCATACAATCACCCGCTGCCTGCGTCTGCAACAGAGGCTGTGGACTCGATTCTCTCTGATCCCATTGGCGTGAACCTGGCCGTGTTCCTCATCTTTGCCTCGGGCTTCCTCATGGCCAGCTACGTGCTGTTTGTGCTGCTGGAACGCGTCAACAAGGCGAAGCATGTACAGTTTGTGAGCGGCACCAACGCCTACGTGTTCTGGACAGCAAGCTTTCTCTGGGAGTGGTTCACCATGCTCGTGCCCGCTGTTGGGCTGGTCATCATCATCGCCGCCTTCAACATTGACGCGTACAACTCGCACCTGGGCCTCATCTTCTTCCTCTTTATGATGTTCACCTTTGCGTCCATCCCCTTTGCCTACTGCCTGTCCTTCCTCTTCTCCTCGCCCTCGAGCGCATACGCCGCCGTGTCGATCGCCTTTGTCTTTGTGGGCATTGGCGGCCTCATTGGCGTGTTTGTCGCCACCATCCTCGACGAGAACCAGGTTGCATACGACCTGCGCCACGTGTTCCTGCTCATCCCCAACTACGCATTTGGCCAGTCCCTCTACGACATCTGGCTCAACTCCAAGTTTGGCGAGCTCTACACCCGCTTTGCGGACGTGTGCGAGCAATTCAATGACGTGGATGCTGTGCGACAGCTCTGCAACTCGCACAAGTCCAACTACCTCGCATGGGACAACCCCGGTGTTGGGCAGCCGCTGCTGTACATGTTCCTGTCGGGCGCGTTTTGGTTCACGCTGCTGCTGCTCATTGACCTCGGTGTCATCCACCGCCCGTCCGTTCCTGCCGCCAAATTTGAAAACCGCGACGAGGACGAGGACGTGCTTGCTGAGCGGCGGCGTGTGGAGGCCGGTGGCGCCGACAACGACGTCGTTGCCGTGCGCGACCTGAGCAAGGCCTTCAAGAAGAAGGGGAACCGCAGTTTCATCGCTGTAGACTCCATCACGCTTGGCGTTCCCAAGGGCCAGTGCTTTGGCCTGCTTGGCGTGTAAGTACAATTGAATTGCTGTGACGGTGATGGGACAGGGGCGTGTGTGTGTGATTTGTTTGTGTAAGGGGAGGAGTGTTGGTATCGTCCCTGCTGTTTTATGCTGGTGTGAGCCGAGGGTTGTGTGTGTGTGTGCTTGTGGGATTGTATGCAGCTGTACATTGTCAGATGTTGCGCCGCCTTGTTGCTTTGTTCGCGTCTCATCCACGTCCAATCCCCATCACCGTCACCGTTCTCATCACCATCAACACCACGCTCTTTCCCCTCCTCTCTTGTGCAACTGATAGCAATGGCGCTGGCAAGACGACCATGTTCCGAATGCTGACAGGAGAGATCCGCCCCAGCAGCGGCGTTGCTCGCATCGCGGGCTTCGACTTGGCCTCAAACATGACCAAGGCCCGGCAGCACCTCGGCTACTGCCCCCAGTTTGACGGGCTCATCGGGCTTTTGGTGTGTGTGTGTGTGTGTGTGTGTGTGTGTGTGTGTGTGTGTGTGTGTGTATGTGTGTGTGTGTGTGTGTGTGTGTGTGTGTTAAGGGGGTTGTTGTTGATGGGTCGACCACATGCGTTTGGGTGTCATGGCGTGTGTGTAGTACCCACATAACGTTTTTCTTAAAGCAAGAAACTATGTACCGACTTACCAAAGCACGCTCGCTCACTGACTCACTCACCCACACGCACACATGCAAATGCACGTGCACTCGCAAACGACTACATGTACATACATGCATAAACACACAACACCTCCAATGCTAGACTGGCCGCGAGCATTTGCAGATGTACGCGCGACTGCGCGGTGTTCCTGAAGACCGCATCACTGCTGTTGTTGACGATCTCACATCCCGCCTCTCCCTCACCCAATATGCGGACAAGCCAGCGTACACATACTCTGGCGGCAACAAGCGCAAGCTCTCAACAGGTGTGTGTGTGTGTGTGTGTGAGTGTGTGTGAGGCATGTGGGCATGTGAGCATGTGTGTTTTACCTGCCATGTGTGTGTGCGCGTATGTGAGCAGCTTGCATGGTGTGAAAATATCCAGGTCGACATGCACTTGACATGCGCTTGCACTACACCATTGTGTATGCCTGCTCAACACAATACTTACATCGAGAGACACACATGCATACGCACGTATATGCACATCTCGCAGCCATTGCGCTCGTTGGCTCGCCGAGCATCGTGATGCTTGATGAACCAAGCACGGGCATTGACCCTGCATCAAGAAGGTTTCTCTGGTCTGTGTTGGAGCAAGTGACTGCGCAAGGGCAGTCCATCATTCTCACTTCCCACAGCATGGAGGTACGACAACTTACGTGCGCTTGTGATGGATGTAAACCTGATTGCTGTACACTGTGATTCTTGGTGGTGTGCATGCATGTGTGTGTTTGCAGTGACCTTGCGACCGCTCTTTGAGAAGGGCAAGCGTTGACATCCACACACCCTTGCACACACGCGCGCACTGTCACACACACACACATACGCTCACACACACACACACACCTTTGCACATACACCCTTGCACACACACACGCGCACTGTCACGCACACTCCCCCCCCCCCACACACACACACACACATACGCTAACCCACACTGCATTTGCAGGAGTGTGAGGCGCTGTGCCAGCGTCTGGCCATCATGGTGAACGGCCGGTTCAAGTGCATTGGCGGTGTGGGCCACCTCAAACAAAGGTCAACAGTGCCGTTCATGCGACACCACGCAAGAGCTTGTCTGCGGCTGAGATGGTTGAGGGATCACAAGAGTGTTGTCGTCACTGCACTCTTTCTCATGCTTGACTTGTGCATTGCACCGTGTAGGTTTGGGCGCGGGTATTCCCTGCAGGCGCGGGCGAAACCAAACGAGGACGGGACCGCTGGCGACACGACAGCCCTGAAGCTGTTCGTCGAGGCCAACTTCAACGGGGCTGTGCTGAAGGAAGAATACAACGGCACCATCACATATCATGTGCGTTTTGTGGCGAACACGTGTGTGAGGGCGGATTTTTTGGGAAAGGGGACAAGACGGGACAACAAGCGACAAGAGAATGTCCTCAACTGCACTTGCTCACACTTGTCCGAACACACAAACAAGTACACTCACTCACAAACAATCATACTCACTCACAACCTCTCACACACTCACAAACAATCACAACCACACACACACACGCACACAGATTGAGAACGAGACGCGGTCATGGTCGTACATGTTCTCCAAGTTGGCGGAGGCCAAAACGCGCTTCTCACTGGACGACTACAGCTTGAGTCAAGTCTCGCTTGAACGGGTAAGTCATGCTGCATGGTGCTGCTGGCTTTCCTCGAAATGCCACGTGTGTGACGTGTGTGACGTGTGTGACGTACTCCCAAACACTCCACACCGTTGTTGCCGTCGTGGCATCTGCTGTGTGTGAATCGCAACATGTATGTTGACTCCACCACCGCCTGTTGTCTTCGGTGCATTGTCACATCATGGAATTCACGTTGACCCCTGCACTGCGTGCGCGTGTTCTTGTGCATACATGTGTTCTTGCACGTGCAGGTGTTCCTCCACTTTGCTGCCGAACAGCGTGAGGACGCGGCAGAGCGCAACGGCCTTCTCTCGTCCCACAAGAGCCAAAGCCAAAGCCAAAACCAGAGTCAGACCCAGAGCCAAAGCCAGAGCCGCAGTCAAACTCGCCAGGCAGGCGGTGCCGTGCACTCACTGCAAGAACCACTCCGAGACCATCACAACAACGACACGGAAACAATCATCATCTAGTGCGCGTATGTGCATGCGCATCAGGCTACTTGTCAGTGATCCGTGCTCAAGCGCGGTCTGGACTTGTGTGAGCACCATTCTTTCTCGTCCTCTCTTTGTTGTCGATTGTTGTTGTTGTTGTTGTTGTTGTCGATTGTTGTTGTTGTTGTTGTTGTTGTTGTTGTTGTTGTTGTTGTTGTTGTTGTTGTTGTTGTTGTTGTTGTTGTTGTTCTTTCAGCTGTCGTTTAAGTTGTTGTTTCAGTTGTTGTTGTTTGTGTGCTGGCTTGTCTCATGTGGCGGGATGCTGTTGTGACTCCGTATCCATGAGAAAGTCGTCAAAAGGAAGAGGAGTAGGCATGTCTACTTGGTGCGAACACGAACGTCTCAAGGGAAGGGGAAGAGAAACAGAGTGGCAACACAACCAACAACCAAACCAACAAAGAATCTATCGAACAAACAAACCAACAAACGAACAAAACAACCGAGACAGTTGAGCAAACCAAACCATCAACCAACTCGTCAAACAGAATGTTGGGCTGGCCTACTTGTTCTTGGTCTTCTTACCCTTGTGCTTGCGCTGTTGCTGTTGCTGCTGCTGCTGTTTCTTCTTCTTCTTCTTCTGCTCCTGCTGCTTCTTCTGCTGCTGCTTCTGATTTGGGGCCTTCTTGTTCGTGCCGTTGGCGGGCTTGCAGACTGGAGCATCAGGTGCAGGCCACACCGCATACTCCCCGCGCTCTCGCAGCTGCTTCGACGTCACGCTGTCGTGCGTCTTCTCCAGCGGCACAACTGCAGCGTCGCCACGTTGTGGTGGACAAGATGGTGAGGAGACAAGGGGTAGGAGGGGGTGAGTTGAACAAGGCTGCCTGGACCTCACTTGTCAGTGCTCGGAGCAAGACTGTGTGTGTGTGTGTGTGTGTGTGTGTGTGTGTGTGTGTGTGTGTGTGACCAAAGGCAACACGCTTGCCCTGCCCCTGCATCCACGCACGTACCTGTTTCCTGCGTGCTGTTGACGGCGATGACGAGCACTGCGCGCTCTTTGCTGGACGGGTGGAGGTAGCGCATGTACATGTCAACCACCTGCAACGTACAGCGGTGATGGACGTTGGAAGCAGCACACGGGTTGCAGTGAGATTGCTCGATTGCAAACGACACGATGGTGCAACAGCTATTCAAAACATCCGCAAACGCACGCACACATGCACACACATGCTCAAGCTGAAAGCAAAGCCGCTGCAGATCACACAACGCAGCGAAGGCGCCCACCTCTTTCTTGGTGATGGTCTTGAGATGTTCGGCTTCGACGCTGTGGGAAAACGTGAAAATGCGTGCTGGCAGTCGTGTGGAGGTTGGAGAAACGTGTGGTGTGGTGTTGTGTATTATGTGAGTGGAGAAGGCGCGAAGAAAAGCAATTGTTGAGGCCGTTCACACACTCTCTTGTACATGACAGCTGAAGCAGCAATTCAGCCAAAACAAAAAATCACTTGACGCATGTACCCCTTCTTTCACGCACCGCGAATTGAGAACCAAAACTTGCTGATGCGGCGGTCCTGGTTGGCATCGGGCGCCAGCAGTGCATGGCGCAGACTCTCCTTGTGGCTGATGAACATTGCAGCGACGCAGCGTGGTGTGTGGGTGTGTGTATGTGTGCGTGCGTGCGTGCATGAGTGCGTGTGTTTGCGCGTGCTTGCGCGTGTGGCAAGGTGACAAGCGCAGCTATCGGTGCGGCAATTGCGCAAGACCACATGAGAGCAGCTCCCATCAGCTCACTCTTCGAAATCGCGGCTGGACATCTTGCGGAGTTTCTTTCCGAAACGGCTCAGAAACGCTTCCACACGCTCAATCATCGTGTTGGTTGAGAACTTGTCGCTCTGCCATGTGAGTGTGCCACAATGAGTGGGTGCAAGTGGTGAGTACAAGACAAACAGAGAGTGTGTTGGTGAGTATGAATGTGAGTGAATGTGAGACTTGCATTGAATGTGTGCATGAACATGGCTCACGCACATCAGAACAGCACGAAAAGAGAGAGTGTGTGCATGTGTGCGTTGTGTATGAGTTCGCACCGGGGAGGAGAGCTCTGCGACAAATCCGGGTTTGTTGTACGTGTTTCGCTTCGAGAGACTCACAGAGTAGCCCAGCTGCTGTCTCGTCCGAAGGTCCTGTGTATGCACATGTGTTGATGTCAATCCGTCACAAACACACACACACACACACACTCACACTCACACACTCGCACATGACCAAAACAACAGGGCATTGCACCAAAGCGATCGGGCCTGCTGCTCAAAGAAAGCCACACACGCATCCACCAATCTCTCACATGCAAGCGAGTGAAGCGTACGCACACACGCACGCACACACACCTGAAAGAACGGCTCTTCAACCATGTTGGAGAGGAGGCGGTGAGTGGCCTGTGCGCGCTTGTCTGTTTCCTGTACCTGAAAGTACATCTGTAGCGCATTGTTCACATCCTGCTCGTTCCTGTTCTCCGCCCGGCACAACAGAAATCCTGTGCGTGTGCGTGTGTGTGCGTGTGTGTGTTAATGTGTGTGTGTGTGTGTGTGATGGTTTGAAATACGTGGCAGGGCCATGTTTCCCAGCGTGGCCTCCTCCAAGGTGGCAGCATCATCTGCGAGCCACCTCACCTGGCGTCAGCTTGAGCACGTGCTGCTCGGAAAACTGGGAATACGGCGTGGACGGCCGGCGCTGCTGCAACTCGCTGTACACACACACGCATACACACACGCATACACACACGCATACACACACGCATACACACACGCGCACACACATGCATACGTACACATCAATACACACATAAAACACATGTGAGGCAATGAAAATGAGAGAGGTGCCCATGGGCGACTTCTGAGGAAAGAATGACATGCTATGAAACAACAAAAGGCGGAGCAGCGCGCATCAGCACGCATCAGCGCCAAGAGCAATCGATACACCTGATGAAATAAAGGACGTCAGCAGACACATGAACGTAAGAACGCTCGCGGGTGCGGTGACACACCTGAGGGCGGACATTGCGTCCTCCTTCGTTGCGTTGCCATGGACATAGAGCACCGCCCTGTTTGCGCGCATGAGCTGCGAATACAGCGATTGCATGTCCTGCAAGCGTGTTGTGAAGCAGTGCACCCAAACATGGGCAGGTGGTGGAAATCAGTTGATGGTGGGCGGTATCATCGTACAGCACCAAGACAGCAGCACGTTCTCACACGACACCAACACCCTCACGCGCAAAGCAGAAGCACACGCAGTGTTCTGCCAGCTGCCGTCCCACACGCGATCACACACCTTTAATGACATGCTCTTGAGAGCGGTGTACATGTCCTCAATCTCAAAGATGCGGGGGCACAGACACGTCAGCCGAAGCTCCCTGCGTGAGTGAGTGAGTGAGTGAGTGAGTGATTTACAGGGGTGTGTTTGCGTGTTCCACAATGAAAACGTTTCGACACCTGGCGACGTTGGATGGGTCGAGGGATTGATTGTACAGCGAGCGAAGCAGCTTCTCCTGCACACACCAGAGCAGATTCGTGTATGCCCACGTGCGTGTGAGTGAACTGCACATGACAGCAGCATCAGGAGCAACGGACAGAGCAAGACTGTGCCGTCGACAGCTGCAAGTGCAGCAACACACGAACATACAAACACCACGCACACACACACACACATGCACTTCCTCCCCAACCAACCAACAACGCACGCACCTTTGACATTGCAAACACGCCAGCATCAAACGTGAGGTGGAAAATGCGAGAGCAAAGAATGCGGAACACGAGGTCGACTTTGCTCGAGTAGCCCGTGACGGAGAACGAAATCCCAAGCTGCAGATGTGAGTTGTGATGCGGTGTGCGTGAAATAGTGCGTGAGAAGGAGGATGGGCGACACTTGTACGTGCATGTGCGTGTGTGTGCGTACAAATGCGCTTTCAGTGTGCGAGTGTGTCATGCATGCATGTTGTGCGCCGGGCCGCGCATCAGTAAGCGAGGTGCCTTGCCAGAGAGTATTACATGAACCAAACCTCGTCGCTGCGAATGTCGTACTCGAGGTCCGCAATCTCTGCCTGGTACAGCTCCTCCTGTTGCCGCACGACAACGACACACACACACGTGCGCGCGTGCAAACCCAACCCCTGTGAGAAGCACAACCATTCACACATACACAACAGGCGCACACCCTCCTGCTCATCGCACAAGACCAGCCCAGCACCTGGCATGCAAAGGGTGCACCACTTTCGTTCTGGCCAGACCTTGAGTTCACGGCGAAGAATGGTGACGAGGAGCTGTCCTGCGATGCGGCCGCGCGCCGTTTCGGTCATGACCGAATTGCACAACTGCACCATTCTAAACGTTTGGAAGCACACATCGCGGTGGCATGTGAGCACAGGCCACACACACGCACGCACACTCACGCACAAATCAAATGCAACCATGCAAACACAGAAAATATGCGTACACGGCGCCACGTGCAAGCGTGTGCATACACAAATGTGAAACGATGTGCCCACTGCTCACTGTGTGCGCACCACACGAAACACACACGCACACACACACGCACACGCACGCACGCGCACACACGCACGCATGCACACACACACGCGCGCACACACACACACGCACGCACGCGCACACACGCACGCATGCACACACACACACACACGCACACACACACGCTATTGACCGACCCAACTGCAATTGTGCACTCACATGCCGGTTCGTGGCACGTGATGCGTGTTGTCGTGCAGATGCCAGCACTCAATGTCCTTGGTGGAGAAGATGACAACGGGCTCCTGGTTGCACACGTGTGTTGGTATGCATGAGAGATTGCTGTCCCAGCAATTGCAGTCGTGGTGCGACAAAATCAAAGGGAAGATGTGTTCACACACACACACATGTGAGTAGCCCGCACCTTGTTGGCGTCCGTCTTCTCCTTAAACTCAAAGTCGGAGGCAACAAAAGGGTTTGGAGGCGGCATGTGCAGGAATGCAGGGCAGGGCGCTGCTGGTGGTGGTGGTGGTAGTGACAGTTGATTGGTGGGTGAGTGACAATGCGTTTCCTTGTTGTGAATGTTGAAATCATGGTACTTCAGTCAACGTGCAGTCTGTACAGCCAAGTGCAGACTCGCAACCCACATGACGCACATCCTCATGCTCAAGCAAGCCACAATGGCACCATAAATGGCACACACACACACACACGCACACACACACACACACACACACACACACACACACACACCACAGAACCACCTGGGCAACGTACTGTCTCCGGCCTCGATAGCGAGGGCTTCATCCGTCCAATCGGGCGGGAACGACTGCTTGGCGTACTTTGTGCCAAACCACCGCTCCTCCAGCGTACACATGTCCGCAACACTCTTGCTCGACACCACAGCCAGCATGTTCCCAAACGTCAGCCGCCCTGCAGTAACGGCGGGGACGGAGTGTGAAGGTGTGATGTGCGTGTGTGATTTGCTTGTGTGTGTGTGTGTGTGTGTGTGTGTGTGTGTGTGTGTGTGTGTGTGTGTGTGTGTGTGTGTATTTGTGTGTCTTTGTGATTTGTGAGTGGACGAGCGGAGTAGAAACCCCTTCAGTCACCTCCTGTCATCACCGCGTATCCTCCTCATCACCACCGCTACCAGTCGGGTACCGATGAGTTTAGTGATGGTGTCTGCGTCGTAGTCCATGATGACGACGTCGCCGTTGAAAATGTTGGCGTCCGGATAATACGGCATCTCGCACGCCGCGCCCTCAACAAAGTCAATCGATTCGCTGTCTTGCTGGAACCTGCAGCCAACCACATCCACAGCGTGCACAGATAGGAGTTGAGGGACTGAACGTGCTCACAACACATGCCAACATACACCCGTGTATGTGTGTGTGTGTCTGTGCGTGCGTGCGTGTGTGTGCATGTATGTGTGTTCGTGTTCACCTGACCACGTGTAGCTGTGCATGTGCGCGCATGCTGCAAAGAGAAAGACACTACCACGCCTGCAATTGCAGCTACACGGACGCTTACGCGCAGGCGCATACCTGAAGTGGTTCTCGGAGATTTGCTTGCACTCGTCGAAGAAGTGGCGCTGTGGACCGGCTGTCCGGATCATTGTCAGGTATTGCATCACGATCATCACAATCTCTCGCACGTGGCGCAGGCCCTCATCCGTGAGCGTCAGCACAATCTGTGGTGCATTGCACAAAGGCACAGCATGAGACCCGTGAGAATAGGATTGTAGTCGAGACCATCACAGAACAACAACAACTTAAACAACAACTTAAACAACAACTTAAACAACAACTTAAACAGCAGCAGCGGCAGCACCTGGAAGAAGCAGTGTCTGCTCGACGCCTCGGCGCCATCGCCGGAATTTCCCGCCGTGAGTCCAGTGCACCACCGCAACTCTTGCAGGCGGTGGAGAATGGATCCTTTTCCCTCGTGGCCAACAAGCTCAGACACGTACATCATCGGCTTGACACGCCATGTCTCAAACAGCGATTCAAAGTTCCAGATGAGAACTGGCACGTGCGGTGTTGCCATGACGTGTAAAAGCAAATCGGCAAGAAGTGGGGCGCATGTACGCATGTACGTGCATTATGTGAGGGCAGTGAAACATGCCATCACCATGTGTGCACGTGTGCGTATGTGCATGTGGATTTGTGCTTTCATTCCCAAAGTCATCGTCAAAGGTGGACAACAAACACGTGGTTCAAGCAACACGTCCCCCCCCACCCACCCCAGATGCCAATTCCTCAACAAACGCACACAAAACAAAGGCGCTTGAGTGGATGACACTGCCACTTACAGAGCTCGTGGTCGTCCTTGATTGGGGCAACAAAGAAGAGCTGGTGGAAATCTGCTGTGTTCCACGCGTGCTCCCAAGTCGCCGGAAAGGTTGTCCCGTCGTTGCGCAGAGGACCTCGGCCGCGCGGAATTGCGGACAGCGACGCCTCTGCCATCGCCTAGGGGGGTGTCATCGTGGAACGCGGGCGTGTGTGTATGTGTGATGTGCGTGTGCGCGTGCGTGTGTGTGTGTGTGTGTGTGTGTGTGTGTGTGTGTGTGTGTGTGTGTGTGTGTGTGTGACAGAGAGATTGAAAGAAAAGAGGACAGTCTTGTGATAAGCACGTTGCAAAATCACACAGTCACACACCCACACAAGCTAGCAGACGCAACGCAACGCAAGGCCGCTCAAGTCCACCGCCACAGGCTCCACGAACCAGAATCAACCCCATCGACCCTAAATCATTCCACGGCAGGCACATCCAACCCACTTGCAGCTCATCCAGGGACTGTGGACCGCGGACAACGGCACACATGTTCTCCGCATTGTAGTGCTTTGCGTGGAAGTCAAACAGCAACTTGCGGATGTCTTTGCCAGCCTGGTGTCAGAGCCGACAGCAGCACCCGTAACGGTGGGGGCACGGGCAGAGGGTGCAGCGCACAGGCGCGCGAGTGACTCAGGTGACATGACAGCAACCATCCACACATCCACATACACAGATAAACACGCACACATTTTCTCACGCATCGGTATCCTGCAGGACCGACAAGCACACATGTATGTGGTGCAGGGTGGGAATGTGACCTGCAAGCCACATGCAAAGCGAAGGTTTTGTTGGGATGTGACAAACACACCTTCTTTGGGAGGTCCTTCAGGGATTCATCATTCCCCCACGTAAAGTGCGCCAACACGGAATCTGGACAACAGACAATACATGTGAACGAGCGAGTGCTGTGAGAAAGGGAGAGAGCGTGCGTTTGTGTGTGTGTGTGTGTGTGTGTGTTGCGATACGAAATCTCTTGTGTCTTTACTCACACGCACACACACGCGCGCGCGCCAGCATCGAATTATATGCTTCGTCATGAAGCGTGTGTGCGTGGTGCACGAGCAGACCTTTCCTGGCGTGCGCGAACACGACTTGCTGCGTGCGGCTGTAGTCATCCTGCAGCGCAAGTTTGAACTCGCTGTCCACAGCCTGCCGCTCACGATCAACACTGCACGCAGAGCAAAGTTGGGATGATGTGGATGGGAGGGATCACGCAGGGTTGGCACGGGGGATGAGGAGGGGCTCGTATAGCAGTCGTGAGCACAATCACACCAGTCTCGCAGTTACAGCCTCCTTGCAGAATGCAAATTGCAGTGGCAAACGTGACGTGATACGCACAAACAGCACAAATGCAAACACACATGCACACACACATACAACACAACACAACACAACACAACACAACACAACACAACACAACACAACACAACGCACACGCACGCCACGTACGCGTCGGCCAAGAGGAGGGGATCGACAAAGAACTGGGCAAAGATATCGAGGGCCTTGGAGAGGTGTGGCGGATCGATGTCAAAGTAGAAGCAAGTCTGCTCCGCCTCCGTATGTGCGTTGGAGTAGCCGCTGTGGCTCTGCAAGAAGTCTTCCAGGGCGTCCTCTTCTGGATACTTGCTCGACCCCATAAACACCTGAGGCCGCAAGCGAAGGTGTCGCGGTTGTTGCAAGGCAGTCAGTGCGCAAAGGCGACACGTGCCGCAACGCGGATGTGAGGCAAGGTAATTGGAGCGACTGACAACCATGCACATGGCCTACGAGAGACAACCATCGCAGCTCCACGGATCACACAGCACACACACACACACCATGTGTTCGAGGAAGTGGGCAAGGCCTGGTGCCTCTGGTGGGTCTTCAAAAGAGCTGAAATCGCCGTGGTTGCAACAAATGGGGGCGGGGTGACATGTCTGACACAAGCAACTGGTTGCAGACGAGCACAGCAATGCGCAACAGGTTCACGCACGCACGAACGCGCGCACGCACGCACGCATATGAGCGTCCTCTTACCCTGCGGCGATGGACAGGGCGACCGCGGCATGGCGCTCGGCAACGTCATCGTCTCCTTCATCCTCGTCACTGCTGTCCTCGGCATCAGTTGTGTCATCTTCAGCGCTGGATTCCGTGGCGCTCTCTGCATCGTTGTAACACAAGTGAATGATCAAGGTGACTCAAGGCCATCCATGATGGTGAATTGAAAAAAACAATGACAGGACGAGGACACAGATTGCAGCACAATGTCGCCACAGCCTAGCGACCTCCTCCCGGCCCCCATGCGCACCACATCCTTGGAGGCGATGAGGACCACACGCTTCCACGGGCTCGTCTTGGACCAGAAGAACTCGGAGATCATTCTTGAGCCTGCACAAGCGAGGTTATTGTTTGCAGTGGCATCGTGAACGCATGTGAAAACGCACCGCTCCCCCACTGAGCAAGCACGCCACGGCGCAGTTTGAGGAAGACAAGTGCGCGCTGCCACACCTCTCTGCCACCTACCTCACGATGCGGTACTGCTTTCGGTCAACTTGCGGCACCATGGGTGCAACTGGGGAGACACGCGTGCCAGCATCGCCGCTAACGCGTTGAACGCGATCATGCAGCCATAACCGCCCAGCCCACCACGCTTCCGCCAGCCCCCACACCACGCACAGCCCAAACATCTCCTCTCGACAGTTCTCGACACCACAAAAAAATAGGCAACCCCCAACTGTACAGCGCAGGTTTGACATAAGAGAGGAGACTTGACCTTCTTGTAGCCTCGTGACTTGTTGATGCTTCCGTCCAACTCCAAGCATCCCACCGCCTCAGCATCCCACCAGCGAAGCGAAAGCAGCTGACTCAGTGTGCTTCAATTGCACCGTACAACTGCAACTCTGTGCTGTTGATTCATCGTCATAGTTAATATTTGGCACAAGAATCACTGGCCTCCTTTTATCGCCTCCCTTGTTCTCTTGTCCGTCGCACACCACTGCTTTCTGTTTGCTCGTCTTTCAGAATGTGTGAATGTTGTTGCTTTAATCTTCTCATTACGCCAGCAGTGGCGTGGTGGTAGCATCAACAACAGCCCGAGGCAGACCACGCACAAAGGAAGAAGCATCCATCTCCCCCTTGTGAAATGCCACGCACTGCTTCACGCAACCACCAAGCACAGCCTCAGCGCTGTCTCCTCCATGCAGCTCTTCCAGGCACTCGAGCACACGCAGGGACACATTGCATGATGTCTGCGCAACGCATACGGAGTCACCCATCACCTCATCAAAGCCAGCCCCCAACAGCTCCTTCACATATGCCACACAGCCTGCACGCCCATCCTCAAAGTCGAACGTGCGCTCTTCTGCATCGCTGTCGCTGCTGTCGTGTGCAAGGAGCTGCACAGCTTGCGTGTCCTGTTGGGCCGCCAAGGCGTGCACGATGCTGGCGCTGAGCAGGCGTGCGCCAAGGTAGGCGCGGCCTCGCTGCAGGTTGCGCACGGCCTGCTCCTCCAACTGCTGCTGTTGCTCTGACGTGCGGCAGCCGTCAAAGTGCGGGAAAATGAGTGCTGGGTTGTGTGCAGGAAGCCGAAGAGCCCCAGTTGCCCGCCAACGCGCATCAGTCAAAAAAGCAGAAGTCGTTTACTCTCCAGGCACTCGAGCACACGCAGGGACACATTGCATGATGTCTGCGCAACGCATACGGAGTCACCCATCACCTCATCAAAGCCAGCCCCCAACAGCTCCTTCACATATGCCACACAGCCTGCACGCCCATCCTCAAAGTCGAACGTGCGCTCTTCTGCATCGCTGTCGCTGCTGTCGTGTGCAAGGAGCTGCACAGCTTGCGTGTCCTGTTGGGCCGCCAAGGCGTGCACGATGCTGGCGCTGAGCAGGCGTGCGCCAAGGTAGGCGCGGCCTCGCTGCAGGTTGCGCACGGCCTGCTCCTCCAACTGCTGCTGTTGCTCTGACGTGCGGCAGCCGTCAAAGTGCGGGAAAATGAGTGCTGGGTTGTGTTGCAGGAAGCCGAAGAAGCCCCAGTTGCCCGCCAACGCCGCCATCCAGTCCTGGACGGCGATCGCCTTGGTGTCGCGCAGGGCGGGGTTGAGCTCAGGCAGCAGCTTCCACGTGTTGGCCAGGAATCCGCGCGTGTCTGCATACGCGAAGTTGCCCACGTCGCGGGCAGCCATCTGGCACGCGCTGTGCATCATGCGGCGCGCTGCCAAGGCAGCATGCGCAGGGGCAAGGAGCAGGTCCTCTGTTGCCACGGCCACGCACCGGGTGTACAGCATGTCGACGCTGTGCTGAGTGCGGAAGGGAATGGTCGCCTCAATGCACACGCACAGGTGCAGCAGCTGCATCTCGTTCAGGAAGGGCGCAAGCATGTCCACAGCAATGACGCAGCTCAGGAACTCGTTGAGCCCCTGCGCGCCAATCTCGAACGGCAGTGTCTCGCCGGGCACGTGCCCAAACACCTTGTAGCAGGTGCGGTGCGCAGCCGTGCGTCGTCGTGCAGGCACTGCTGCAACGTCACCGCTGCTGTCATCCTGGCTCCACCAAGACTGTGTTGTCTGCAGGGCGCTGCTCATCGTGTCCGTTGGTGCGAGCGTGGCCGCATCCTGGTTGTCGCTTGTTGTTGTGGTTGTTGTAGTGGTTGTGGTTGCAGTTGCGTGAGAGCACATGCTGTCCAAGCTGCTGGTGCTCCGTGCCCTGCCCATGCCTGATTGCGCTGGGAGAAGCGCCAAGTTGTCTTTGTGTTGGTGTTCGCTAATGACCTCGCCTGCCATGAGGGCGAGCTCGGCGGGGTTGCTCAGGGCAAATGCACGCTGCAGCGCACCAGCAGGCGAGCTCGCAACTAGCTGTGGAGATGACACAATGGCCTGCACACTGGAGTTGTCGCTGCCCTGTGCCTGCGCCGCCGCTGCTGCTGTTGTTGTGGTCTCGTTGGTGGTGAAGGGGAGGTTGTGGGCGTGGGGCACGAGCAGGAGGCGTGCGCGCTGGAGGATGGGCAGGAAGAAGGGCGCAATGCCGCCGTCCAGCTGCAGGTAGACGACGTCGTGAAAGATGGCGGCGAGGTAAGCCACAGGGTCTTGTGCGATGTCCTTGGGTGCGACGTCAAAGACGTGTGCGACGGCGTGGTACACGCGGTGTGGGCCCGTCATTGAAGTCACCACGAGGTGGGCGATGTTGTCGATGGCGTTCGAGGGCACACAGACGTCGAGCGCATCAAAGGCGCACTTGATGCCTGCGATGAGGCGCTGATGTTGCTGGGAAGGCATTGTCGTTGATCACTACTTGGGAGAAGACGGTGGTCGTCAGCTCTGAGTTGTATCTTGAGCGGTGTTCCAAACGCAGTTGAGAAAAATGAACGCATTGACACTCTCTTCTCGGGCAAAGCATGGTGGGCAGCTTGCTCTTGAGGTGCGAGCGAGAAGGGCAACTTCATGCGCGCGTGTGTGTGATGAGGTGGGGGGGGGGGCTCGAACAGTGGTGATTCGGCGAATCGCCAGCTTCTTGGAATTTGCAATGTGCACGAAAGCGTTTGCAATGCATATCATCGTCACACTATGACGTCACTTTCATTTGAATTGCTGAAGATATCACCCAATTGTCCCGTCATGACGCACATTCTCGGAAGTGGTCCCTGCCTTCGTTGTTTGGTTCGTTCTGCGCAAACGTATGATGTGTTGATTCTTGGAATCGGGAAGCCTGCTCGTGACTTGAATTTGAACCGCAGCGCGTCGTTGGCGACTTGAATTTGGACGAAGGAAGATGTCAACTCGGGGGAACAGCTTTGCAGCGCAGCACGTCGTACACTGTGCATCGGTGACTTAAACGCAAAACAACCCCGATTCCCGGAATCCTCCTGCAATCTTGCGAAAGCACTGCAACTAACTAACCACAGATCCGAGATGATGCACACCCTCTCATTCGCTCATTCGCGTGAGCTTCCCGCTTGACAAGGTCATTTTCACGACGAGTTTGAACAACTACACGCTCACACCAACAGCACCGAGAAAGCATCAGCCCAACAGCTCGCCCAAGCGCCCACGCAAGAACATCGACACACACAAACACACAAGTGCAAGACCACAACGACCACAGCGAACACAGCGAACACAACAGCAACATGTGTGCAAATGCGATCTTCTGGCCCGTTTGGACCCACACCAGCACCGACGCGCTGTGCAGCGTGCACGATCTTGCTGCGGAGCACGCAAAGCCCTGGCGTTCAAAGACGATCCTGCCACGAAGCACAGATAGCATGAGCTCCATCTCCACGGCTGTTCACAGCGACAGCGACGTGGACGAGGATTTGGCCGACGAGGACATCTTCCAGGCTGTGTACGGCACTGTGGGCAATGCGGCTTACAGCCCTCCAGACGACACATCGGATGCTTCAGCCACGATGCACGCACTTCCACGCACTAGCTGTGTCGCAGGCAACTCTCTGGATGCTGAGAAGAGTGACTGCGCCAGCCATGCTGTGCATCCTGTTCCATCTTGCAGCCTGCCACGAAGGAGAAAGGCCGCAACTGCATGGTCCAGCCTGCGCACGGTGTGGGAGCGGGTGCGCAACACTCTGCCAGCCAACCTCTCCCTCAACAAGAACAAGTGCCACGACACCAGCAAGAGCAGCACGCACAACCACCAGAACAAGAAGACCAACACGACCAACAAGAATGCCAAGAGCAGGAAGAACAGCGACGCCACCAGCGTGCGACCAGCACAAGACATCACAGCATGTGCAGCAAGGTCAACCAGCACGTCCTCGTCTTTCTCGACAGCGCAGGATGCCGCTTTGGTCTACTACAGCAGCAATGACTTGAGGGCACATGCTGCAGGCAGCAGAAGCTTCTGCTATACGGTTCCCCGAGACTTGGAAGAGCAAGCCCAAGAGTACATGGAGGTGTCGGACGTCGAGCTGAGGAGACCATCCACTGTCTCGTTGCCGCTGTTCGTCTCGCACGTGTGGGTGCTTGAGCACTGCGACTGCGACAATGCGTGATTGTGCGAGGTGCTGTGGAGTTTATATGCGTTTGTCTCGCTTCTTCGTGCTTTCATGGCTACAATTGAACCCAGATGCTTGTATGTGTGTGTGTGTGTGTGTGTTTACTTTAAGCGACCATTACATCTCATCATCGTGAGCCATCGTCACGCCTCGTTCAAAATTCGTTTAGAAGAGCGTTTGCCCAAGGGAATGATTGGAGAAGGCACGAAGCGAATAAGAAGTGCAACAAGGAAGAGTGGAGGGGCTACGCTTGTGCATCGAGGAGAAGAAGGGTTACACGGGCACACACACACACACACACACACACACACACACACACACACACGCACACACACATACATACATACACAAGCACACACGCACATGCACACATACATACACATAAGGTTCTGGCCCGTGGGCCGTAAGGCAGTCAAGACAATGGCACCCGCACATCCATCGCGAGGCCCAGCACGCATGCACCACAAACAAGGAGGATGACGCAGGGGAAACCTTTAGCTTTTCCCTTTGGCATGGCGTTGTGCGGTGCGGTGCACAAAACCGGGGACGAAGGTCTTGTCCGCTCCGAGGCAGCGCCTAGGTGGCAGCATGAGAGTGGAACAGCACAGAGTGCTCAGCAAACAAACATCGCATGCGTGCCTGTGTGTGA